ATTTGTGTTGTATTTTAAGCAGCCGCCCCTCTTTTTTTCTGCAACCAAATCTAGACCAACACATGAAAAACATGAAAGCAACTGGTAACTCAGTTTGAAATTCAGTGGTTTAGACTTATTCCGCCAAAGTGTTTCCAATGTATAGCGCTTACTTGGAGGAAAGGTTTGGTATCTTGATGCATGTGCAATCATTTATTTAAGGAAATCCCAAAGAGCTGATTCTGTTCTGTTCGTGTGGACGTAGCTATTCCCACATGAACAGAATTACCTCTTATGGTAGGCTTAGTAGGTTATTTATTTTTTCTTAGTAAGTCTAAAAAAAATATGACACCTTCTGATGCTAATTTACCAGTGAGTCATCCCTTCGCTCTTACTTTGAAAGTTCAGTCATTGCTAACAAGCTGGCCCCACCCTTCCCGAATTTAGCTTCACGTACTTGCTACCTTCCTGTCTAGGTTACTATTGTGGTGGTGCTCGATATCAGTTAACCACTTCCCCAGTGAGATCTTATCACAAAGATGGATACAATCCACCTACATCATCATGAACTACAGCTTGAAACAGCAGTCCTTCTGCTCAAAACACCTGCTCTGAGCTGCAGGAAGCATGCAGAGTGGTGGGATGGTACTTCCTACTGAAATGTGACTGGCCCTTCCTGATGCCCACCCACCAGAGCCACTGGTTTGAAGTACTGTTAATATTGCTTTGGCCGACAGCCTAGACAGGACCAGTGGAGGAGTGTATTGATATATTAGTATAAATAAAATCTTCTAATATTTAAGTATAATTAAGATTTTATGATCAAATATTCAGATTTTGGGACTTTGTTTTGATTCCCCTGCGTCATCACCATCTTCTTCTAGCTGCCTCTTACGAACTAACTGGAAACTACTCTTAACGCTACACCACAGCCTTCCACACCATTCAAAGTCATTGCAGGCTGCGTTTACTCAAAGTGTAGTTACACTTTCTGGGAGGTGCACATCAGGTTATGGCATAGGGTTAAAAGGATTCTCTGGTTATGTCGTAGATTTCCAGCTGAAACACAGTTCAGGCATTACCCCATCCCTAGCATCCTAACCTTGTGAGAAACACTAAGATTAATTGATGATCAGAATAAAGTTATGAAAGTAAAAAGAAAAAGAATCAATCTCAACAAAGAAAAAACTCTTACTGTCCGTGGGTCGAAGGTGAACAAAGCTCTGAAAACCTTGACTTGGCCTAGTGAAGACAAAAACAGACTAGATGTTAGACACAATATGTGTGCGCACTCTGTGACAAACAAAAGTGAGGTGAAACCACTCCTGGTTAAGCCTTGCAGAACACCCAGCTAGTTTCAGTCCGGTGAGTATGCAGGTGAGAGCGTGCAGAAGGCAGCTTCTAATGTGGTAAACTACTCTCTTTTGTCAAGTGCACAAATCAAAGGTGAGACGTTATCTATTATGTAAACAAAAAGACACATTTCAGCACGTACAACAGGCACAAAAAACAGCATCAACAGTGTGAGTGGTTGTTGTGCCTAGCTGCACTCGGGGCCACTGGTAGCTCAAACTTGAGGTTGAGCTCTGCTGCTGAGATGCTACTATGCTGTGGCTTTAGTCGACTGCTAAACTACATCAAAAGCTTGAACAGCCACGGTCAAGCTTTCAAAACGTATTTAAATACTTGATATAAACATTTTAATTTTCAACTAGCTGCACGTTTCTGGGCATTAACGTAAGGTTACATATAGTCTGCTGTGTTGTTTACAACATAGACACAAAGTTTACTAAACAGACTACTGAGCTGGTTGCACTCAGCCCTCAAATAGTGACCCTGTTTTGGTTAACAAAACCAGGATAAATATGCTCTCCTGCAAAGTTAAAGAATTTCCTGTGATTTGCATCGACTGGTAGATAAGCGTAATTTGGACTTCCTTTTAAATTTTGACACACCTGTTTTTTGTTTTAAATTGGAGACAGACGTTAATAATATGCTTTAAATAATATACCCAGTGAAAAAATATGTGTCCGCCCCCACTATTGGTGCATATCTGATATCTTCAATCATGCCTTTATTTGGTTATTTTATCAATCCTTTCAGCTTGAACTTGAAAGATTATCACAGTGTCAACTGTCTAACAGAGGAAATTATATGTTAAAGGTGTTCAACACAACTAAACAAAAGGTGACTGATTCACCGTCTTACATTTAAGGCCAGTTAGAGTCCATCGTTCCTGATCTCTTTACTTCACAGGCCTAACCGCTGGACCCTGCAAATCCCCTCTGCCTGTGCTGTTACTCAGGATTTCTGTTTAGTGAACACACTGCATCGGTGTCTCAGATTGACGGAGGCTGAGCCGCCGCACAAGTCCAGCTCTGTTCAAACACAGTAAGCACGTCTGCTTTGCAGACCCATACTGAGGGCCTGTGCTGACTCAGTTAAATTCTTGCTACATTTTAAACCCTGGGCACACAATAAGATAAAAAGAAATCTAATGAATAAACAAAGAAGAAAATTTGTGCCTTAACATGAGCAAAGCAATGACAGTATATATTTCATCTATTACTGTGTGAGCTTTTTAATGAATTCCAGTTATGTGGGGGTTTTTTTGTACATTTTACTTTATTGCAGCAGCTCTTCTGAAAAAGCATGTCTGGTCATGGTGGTTATGTGATCCCTCAGTCATGTTCAGTGCTCAGTTTAACAACGTAATCTAAACTTCTAATCTGCTAAACCAGAGTTTGCACAGGGCTCCCTCTGTTAAACTGCACATACCTTAAAAACAGAATCATAACCTTCTTGTAAAAATGTGGCTAAGTGGGTGCAAAAAACAACCAACCAAAAAACCCAAAAGAAAACATGCTAGCTCTTGTTCAAGCTGAACGCATACCCCGGGGTGCTATTTGGTCACACATGGCTACAAACACTTGCCAATGTTTTTTTTTTTTTTTCTCCAAAGCCAATTCATGCACAGACACTGAGCACATCCACCGAGCACATCCACCAAAGGGAAAGTTACAGAAAACCAATCCTGAATCTGGATAAAATAGATTTAGCAGGATGGATCAGTTACTCCTGCATGAGCCCCACCGGCCTGCCACCTGTCACTGACAGGCGATCTCACCTACAGCCAGGTGAGGCATCGTGACTGATTCGTCAAGGACTGTGAGGAGTGCAAAAGATTGTGTTTCATGCGGGTAAAGAGATGCGCCTGTGTTCGCTGTGTCAGCATGTTCGTAGACATAAACCACCTTTAACTTCACACATGAGGAAGGTTATTTTATGCTTCTCTCCCCATCTGTGAGATGGAGATTTTTTTTCTCCAAACACCTGCATTTACCTGCGTCCACATTTGATTCATAAGATGAGAATAGTGTACTAGGTGCAATTAGCCAACACTACTGCAGAAACCATTGACTAGAAGATGTAAAGAAATTGACTTTTTCCTTTAGAAAGCTTTGATTTGACATTGTGGACATTTAAATGTCTTTCTGTACATCCCAAAGTTTTACAAATCATATAAAAACATTAATAGTCACCCAATTTCAATATGGGTGGACCAGCGCAGTAGAGTGCAGCATGGGCACAAACGAAATGCTCAAAAATGATTACAACAATAAATCAAAAGGTGTTTTTTTTTTATCGCATTAAAGTACAATTTTCTGCCTCCCTCTCATCACGCTGCCTTAAAATTTCATCACAGGTGCACATATGCTGTACTTACAACCATGATGGATGAAATTTTACACTTTGTTTAATAAATAGAAATTACAAGTTTATTGAGGGAGAAGTCACAGTTTCACTTTTAGCCTCAAACACATGCACCAGGAGATCTGTGTAATTGCTTTGAACAAAGGATACCTATTAAGCTGAATATCGCCTCTCCTTGCTACACAGGCTGCTTGTGTACACCTGTTGCACTGACACAGTGCGTAGGTAAATGCTAACGCTATGACGTGCTCTAACGTTGGTAAGTAAGGTTTGGGAAGAGGTTACCAGAATAATCAGAGCAAGGAGGAAGTAGAGCTGATGTCACTGACCACGCAGACTTATCATCTATTCACCCAAAGCCACTGACTCGCGGTGCTCTCTTTGCATGAGTGATGGAAATAGGGAAGTGACAGAGGCCTGCTGGTAAGAGCTGGATGGCCCCGTCAGTGTACTGAATGGCGAGAAAGCGCTTTCAATAACTCCAACGCGGTCCTGGCAGGGCTAGCGATAAAGCGACACGGCTTCCAATTAAAGTTTAAGACCTGTCTTTCTATTAGCTAAACAAGGTTTCACAGACAAACAACAGAAATCAACCGAGCCCGTGGAGGAGTGTTGAGCGCCCGCCCATTAACCGTTTAACGCCAACAAGGTGCGTTGTCCTCGTATAAACACGTCACAAGTTTGGGTTAAGTTTAAACAACATGTCCTCGTAGTTTTGGTCTTACCTGGCTTGGCTGGTTTGGGAGGAGGCTTCGACATTTGTGAGGCTGGCGGATAAAGCGAAAAGAAGCGCGCTGTGCTGTTTCAGTCACAATCGTCGCAAGACTGTCGAGTTTTCTGCAGTTAGCACCCTCAATGAGGAAGTTCGGCTCAGTACGCGGAAAAGTTATTCAGCGCATGCGCCAACCTGTGGCTCGCTCAATCGATTGCCTTTTAGATGTAATGTAGCGCTTTTTTTCAAGTTTTCAACGTTTCACAACAAACAAATTATAGATTATATTATAGATTATAATGATAGACTATATATTAAGTATAAATATATTTACATTTTTTTTATTGTTATTTCATAACTGTACAAGTTTAGATTTAAGTTGTAACACTTTGAAACAATGTTTTTGCAAATAAATATTTGAGTACGAACATATCAGTATAAAATGTAATAAATGATTAAAGAAGAGAAAACAACATGAATAAAAAACAAACAATTTTTTTTTCCCTCAATGGGCAGGTCGTGAGTGACGTAGAGGCTCCAACGGCAAATCGTAAGCGTCCAGAATAGCACGTGGGAGGACTGTTGCGTTCGCAGGACTAGCTACCAGCGTGGTGTATACATTTGCACGTGACTCCTTAATTACGTTAGTATTACAAGTTCTATAAATCGGTAGCTTTGCGGCGAGCAGACGCAGACAATTGGAATGAAGACACTAATTGTAGGAATTGGTGGGTAAGTGATTAAACACACTAATAATTTTGAACCTTTTGCAAAACACCAGTTTTACAGCCTACTTCTTTTTAGGTCATTTTGGGACATTTGAGGATATTTTCCATGCTCAAGTTTTATTTATTTATTTTAATTTTTAATGTGAAATCCTTTTTGGTAATTGCTCATATGAGTACAAAAGTACAGGCAGATAAGAAAGGCAACAAAATATATTAGTTTATTAAATGTTAAATTACTCACCAGTGCTGTTTAGCATGCATGTATCACAGTGCAGCAGAGGGCACACGTGTTAGTAAGCCACTGCATATGGCAGTGATGTCAAAACACTGATAAGAGTTGTTTACTCTTTAGACACGTGAGCCCCAATCTCCCTGGGTTTTTTACTTAAATATAACTTAAATACAACAGATAATTGCATTGGTTCTCCTAGTATTAATCTAATGTTATGTGTTTAATGATGATCAATGCAAACCTTGTCTGCAAATGCTTATTTTAAATATTCCAAAAAAAGGTTTGCAAACCATGCTTTGAATATCTGCTTCCACAGTAGAAGGTGCAGTTTTAAGATAACCCTTCCTCTGAAAATGGTACATAGGCTGATGGAAGGATGAAAGAAGGGGCACTGAACTTTGCACTGCCTATTTATTACCAACAGCATGCAGAAATTCTTTACTAATCTGCATTTTAAAGTTTTCTAGTTAAACCTCAGACCACACCCAAAACTGCGGATGGGTGTAGTTTGATATGGGGCAAATGCTGGCTGTACCCCTAACTACATCTATTTTTAGGCTGATATACAAATAGCTGAGAGTGTTATAAAAACATGTCAACTGGTACTATTTTAACAACTTTTTTCAAAATAAAAAAAAAAAGTTCCTTAAAGAATTTAAACCATTTATTTTGCATTTGACAACACATGTTGCAGATAAATGGCCTGCATTTGTAGTGCTTTACTAGTCCCTAAGGACTCCAAAGCGCTTTACACAACCAGTCATCCACCCATTCACACACACATTCACACAAAAAATAAACAGAACCAGCTAGGGCCTAACTGATGCTGATAGCACCATAATAATCAGTTATTCTTTTTTAATTTTACAATAAATAAAAATAATGAGCAACATTTGCAATGAGGATACCTTAACCCTTTAAAGTGTGTACCATGAAATAATTGCTAGATAATTAAAAATGTCATTTAAAAATGTATTGTGCAATTTTTCTGACGTCTGCTGTAGCAGACATGGCTGAACAACCATGCCACATTAAACTTAAATCATCTTTTTCCCCCAATCAAGGTTTAATTTCAGATCATCTTCATCATCTCTACATGCATAAATGCAATGAGTTGCTGCCATGTGCCTCTGTCAGTGCGCCCCAGGGCAGCTGTGGCTACAATGTAGCTTGCCACCACCAGTGTGTGAATGTGTGGGTGAATGGGTGAATGACTGAATGTAGTGTAAAGCGCTTTAGGGTCCTTAGGGACTAAGTAAAGCGCTATACAAATACAGGCCATTTACCATTTACCATATGATCGGCCGATTAGATATTCACAAGCAGTTAAGGAGGTGTACCTAATAAAGTGACCAGTGTGTGTATATACACACAAGGCTGATTAGACAAAGGTGAAACTAGAAAGAGGGCAGGAAAACTGTCATATGTGATGACAAGGTGCAGGTGGAATAAGAGATGGGAAAGGCAAATAAAACAGGAAGTGGAAAAGAAATTAAGAGACAAAACAAAGGGAGAGACAAAAAGGAGCATCAGAATAATTAAAAAACGTATTCAGTTATTTATTCATGAACATATGGATGGCAAGAAACCTCTTTGTCAGTTGCAGTAATTTCGGTAATAGAAGGAAACACTGGCTGAGCAGGACATTTTACAGATAAACATTTCTGTATTGACTGTGATTTCAGAGAGTTTAGTTAAATGAAAGAGGCAAACATTAAAAACAATATCAAGGCTATTTTTGTAGATTTACTGTTAAAAGTACATGTTCATTAGTTAATGTGTGTTCTTTTTCCTTTAGGATGACCAATGGGGGAAAAACTACACTTGCCACAAGTCTGCAAGAGCAAATACCCAACAGCTGCATCATTGCACAGGATTCATATTTTAAGGTAGACTGTGAGGCTGTGTTCAAGCCATACTGCTACTTTTCCAGCCTTGGTGCAAGCATCACATATGCTTCTTTCTTCAGGATGACTCTGAGGTGCCGATGGACAGCAATGGGTTCAAGCAATATGACAGTAAGGACAATTTGCTTTACACTGTATTACAACATATTAGATAAGACTTATCTAGGACGGATTATTGGAAAAACCTGTGGTGATAAAAGCTAGAAATAGGTTGTTTTTTCTCATAGACCTCTATACAATTAGACTTCTTTGTGCAGCAAGAAAAATCGCCCCCTACTGTACAGTAGAAAGGTTGCAGGTTTTAGGGCATTTGTCCTTCAGCTTCACATTTCAGACTTGGTGGCTACATTCATCTTTGATATCCAGACTTATGATCACTACAGAATTTGTAGTTCATCTGTCCATCTGAAAATATGACCTGTGGTATTTTTTTTATACGAGTTCCCATGTTTTTGCAAACTGGAGAAGTTTTTAAAGTCTGAAAATGTTAATATGCACCACTATTAGGGTCAATAACTGTGAAAAATAGTGTAAGGACATTAAGAAATCATGTTTAAAAATTGCATTAAAATGTATGTAAAATATAGAAACGTGGTTGGTTGACTACAATAAGCATTTCTAAGCATTTTAAAAAAGAAATACAGGGTATTGTAATGTATTGTAATGTGGGGTATCACTGATTTTCTTCTCCATTCATTGCAATCAAATTAAAATTAAATGTTAAAAATGTGACACCTTAAAAATCACTTTTTGTCAATCAACAGTCTGAAAGATATAAAAATGTCACAATAGCAGAAAATAAAGGAGAAGTATCCAAACAATAGTTGGCTGACTGCAGTATTTATTCAGTTATTTAATTTTTTTCATTTTAAATGTGAAAGAAAGTCATGCTCACTGGTCTATTTAAGTCCTCGAGGCTATGCACATGCAGATGATGATGAGGGACGTTGACTCCTGGCGAAGAGATCCCGAGTCGTTCCTCAGACAGCAAGGCCTGGAGACCCAGCTTATAGAACCATCAGTCTATAATCAGGTGTTCGTGCTCATAGTGGAAGGCTTCCTCATTTTCAACTACAGGTACACAAATGAGGATTAAATAAAAGGACATCATGTGTGTTTCAGTTATAAATTTAGCAAATTAAATCTTAAGATTTACAGGACTTTATGTTTTGGAAAGTAACTAAATACTTTGTTTATAATACTGGAATTTGCCGTTCATGTCAGTTTTTATGAAATTCTATTTTTTTTTTTTAAATCACTTGGGGCAATTATTGAGCCTTACGTTAAATGTTAGGCAAAGATATAGCATTCATTAATGTATTATTGTTTCTAGAAAAAAACTGACAGATATAAATAGAAATAATAATTTATACTGAAGAATTTGTGAATTGTGTTTATCTGATGGCGATTTCTACTGGTTTATTATGTTTTACCCTTCCAGGCCTCTGGATGAACTGTTTGACAAAAAATATTTTATGGAAATACCTTATGATGCCTGCAAGAGGAGACGAAGGTATTTATTTGATTATCGAGTATTTGTATGAAGTTCTTGACATTATTTGTGCACTTTTATTCTGTTGTATTGCTTAATGCAAAAAAAAGAAAGTAACTGTGTTACTTTCTGTCTTCAACAGTTTAAGAGTGTACACACCTCCTGATCCTCCCGGCTATTTCGACGGATACGTGTGGCCAATGTACCTGAAAAACCGAGAAGAGATCGAGAGCGACACATCAGAATTTGGTAAAAATGCATGTGTGATGATTAGAACAAAATATTATTAAACAAAACAAACAAACTGCACTATCACTGAATAATAAAATAAATGACACTGATGTGTTTTTTTTTTTAATGTGGCATTTTTTTCCCCAGTATTTCTGGATGGTTTGAAGCCAAAAGAAGAGCTGCTGGCAGCTGTGTATAAAGATATTTGTCAGGAAATACAAAGACTCAGAGGTAAGTCTGTCTGCTTGATATTGTTTTGCTATTTTGTTTGAAATATATTATCTACTTTAAAACTAGATTACTACGTTTTATTTGTGATTATACTGTATACAATAAGAAAACCATCTGATCACAAAAATTAGTGTCAGGTATGCATGATTGTTCCTTATTCTGAAAAACAAGTTTTCCAGACTTTTTTAGTTAAATAATTTTAGTTTTAAATCATTTCTAAGATTAAGAATCATATGAAGTGCTTTCTGTATAAGCCAGCAAAAGCACGAGGACCTAACTGTGCCAATTTATAATTTGAATAATAAATAAATATTTATTATTTAAGTTTAAGTTTGTACCATTTTGTCTATTTTCTTTTCAGAGAAAAACTGAATTGACCAGAGTATTATTTATTTGCCATTTGAAGATGAAGATCACTGCTCCCATGGATGTTAGGACCACTATCAATTAGACTAATGTGTGACTGAAAGGACCAAATTAAGCTGTGCGAATATCCTGGAATAAACGAGCTGTAGCATCTGAAGTTATCTGCCTGAAGACTGAAGCAAATGTCTTTACCTCTTTACCATAAATGTACAGTATTTTGAAAAGACAAACACTGTGGGACATATAAATGTGATGTTTGAGGACTTGCAGTTTACTAATCCAATAATCGTATCGGTATGTGTAAGCTTAAGTTTGGTTTTAACTCCATTTTCTTACTCGATCTCTGCATCCTGTGAGGAAATTTTTAAAGTTTGTTTTTTCTAATATGTTCTGTAAAATAAATTGTTATGTGTACATCCATTAAAGCAGCTTAACAGAAACACTAAATGTTATCTGATGTCTGTGTATCATTTATCATAATTCGTTATTATCTGATGACTGAACTGAATATACTGGAGACAGATTAACCTTCCTCTTGTGTAGGGGTCAGTTCCGACTTGTTTTTAGGTTTTAAATACATAAAAGGGCCTTTTAAATTTGTATTTAAATTTAGATTTTGCTCTGCTAAAGGCAGAGGACACAAAACAGAAATATGGACGAGCCGGTTTCTGAAGAGGACAATGATATGAGGTCTTATGAGGCTGTCATGGGGCCTGAAGCTGCTCTTCCTGTAACACACAAATTCAAAAGCGGTACCATCTCTTGGAGTCCAGTACCTTGTGGCTTATATGGCAGGGCAACTGCTACAAATGTCATCAAAATGACCCCTGGGATTGCAAGGTTTTCTGTGACAAGAATAAGTGACACCAAAACATGTTTTGATCTGGTTATGCCATTGTCACTAAAGAGAGTTGTCATTGGTGTGACAAATCTGGAAAAAAATGTCTATGGTGACATTTGGAATGACACTGATGAGGAATACCTGGATAATCTGTTGATGGGATACATTAACAGGGAGAAATATTTTCCAGGTAACAACGTCCCTTCAGACCTTTTGAATGATATGAAGAGTCTTCAGATCTGACAACAGATACTAGAGCAAAATCTGACAAGCTTGCTTCCGTCAGGGGTGACTTGTTGACATGACTAACAGGCAACACAATATCATGTTTCACAATTTCTTTATCGTCTTTGAGGAAAGTATTGCCTTACATATATACCTTACATTTAGTAACAGGAAGATAACTTGATAAGCTTTTTTTTTTTT